GGGTGGAGGAAAAGAGGGCAATGGTTTTTCTATAGGAGGAGGAAAAGTCTCGGATCCATCCTTATCTTCACTAGAAAAAGTCTCTTATTCCCCATAGAAGGGAATGAGAAGAGGGGAGACAAATCTCTCCCTGCTGTTCTGGTTTCTGTTTTTCCTTCTCCTTTAAATCTCCTGAATTTTCTTCAGGTGGAGAAGATGGGCAGTCTGACTCACAGCCATCTAGCAGATAAAGATGATACAATGCAGAGCGTACCAGCGCCCAGATGGCCAAAATAGTAACATTAGTAAAATGACCTTGCTCATATCTCTTTTCAGGCAGCGACCTACCAGTTCCCATAACCGTAAATCTAAGGTTCCTTTATCAGGAAACCAAGGGCATTCCTGCTGAATTAACAGGGTGTAGAGCTCCAGGTTGTACAGTGCACTGGATAGCTTTACGTAGCTGTTGCAGTGTTTTTAAAAATACTTTCTGCTCTTTGGTCATTTGTTGACCCTTAACCTAGCCCCTTATATTTTATGTGTGCTTTGCGTCCTCCTGATGGGAGTCAGGACTCTCACTTACCAGGACTCCCCAGAAATTGATGAGCTCTTCCCCTTCATGCATAAATTCAAGGCAATCACATTGAGGGCACCAGTTGCAGAGCTTATAGCTTGCAGTGAACACCAAGATCAATGTACTCAGACAGTTCCACCTGAGCGGGGCTGGGGGTAGCTCTTTGGAGAGCATCCATCCACCAAGTATTTATTGAAAGGGCTTGTATTAACTACAAACATCCATTAGATGGTCATTTGAGGTGGGTTGCTGAGGCACCTGTGACCCTGTACACATTCAAACTGCATTCTCAGGAGGCTGTTTTCAGCGTTCTTTATTCCACCACACATTCCACTCCCTGTCTTGTTTTCAGGCTCAAGAAGTTTCCTTCCCATGCACAAATGATATACACAGTGCCTCAGTATTTTTCCATGCCCTGACCTGAAATGCCGTGTACATAAGCTTGAATATGTTGCTGTGCACCTCCAACAGAAACAAAGACACATGATATTTGATCCTGATCTTCCAGGATCTAATATTGTAGAAAGGGAGAGGGCACTGTGAACTAAGAGTGTACAATGAGGTAGAGCCCTGCCTAAGACAGCCTGAAGGCTTTGAGAGCACTTTGTTAGGGAGTTAGAAAAGTCAGTAAAGGGTAAGTCACTCTTGTTGTTAACTCTAAGAGAAGAGAGTCATATTCCTTTGACCTTGAAGTTTCATCTTCAGATGCTACACAGATGAAGACTACTTACAATCACAGTCATTATCATCACTGTCTTAAACATTTATTATCTCTGATACAGGGCTGGGACTATAGTGAGGTGAGTGAGGTACTCATGTTGGGTACAAAATTTAAGGAGACACAGTAATACAAAAATATTTTAATGAGATATATTAGAAAATAAAATTGATGCAAAGAAATTTATAATGAACAAAATATCAAACTTTTAAAGACAGAATCAATCTGGTATTAGACTCAGGTACTATATAATTACATAGGAGCCTAAGGTTTTGTCTGTTGGCTTTGGGAAGCATAGTCTAGTAGAGGTGATATGAAAGCGATGTGAAATAAAACAAGGTGTCTGTTTGATTTTTCACTCTATCGATTGCAAACATGAGACCAGATCTAACTTCCAATAAGGGCACAGGGTGGGAGATTGGTAGTTGATTTTCATTTTACAACTAATGTCATATGGGAATCACCAAAGAAATTCAGTAGCATGAGCTCTCATAACCCCCTGAAACAATGAACCCTGACAGTTATTCTAGACTCAAGGAACCTCTAGACATTTTGGCAACAAAAGTTGGTAGCGCTTTACCCTGGGGCTCTATAATTAGTGAACACAGCTACAGCTACCCTCTCCATGTTTGCCTCTTTTCCTTATTCTGTTAACTGATCATTTCTTCTCCTTTATTCACATTATTCACCTTCTGTAGGAGAATCCAAATGGCCTAGGCCTTTCTTTTTTTCTCTACCATACAGGTCATGGTTGCAAGGTGAGGGGCCCAATTAAACTGCTTTTGTTAGGGAGGAAACGGAATTTGGTAGTGGCAAGTAGTCCAAATGGGAGGAGCAGTTACAGCCAAGGTAGTTTCTCCTAAAATAAGATATAGATGAAGCACCCCCCTCCAGCGTACACTAGAATTGTGGATTAGCAATTTACAATGCCAAGGTAGTAGAACAAACAGCAAGTGCTAATGGAGTTCAGAGAAAAGAGAGATCACCAAGGCCCAGGGTGTGCTAATTATATGCTACAAGAACCTGCAATTATAAACTCATAGATATGCAAATAAACGCTGATGGCCCTGAAGATGAGCTACAAAGTCATTATCTATGGCTCTTTATAAATGGACAACAAGATAAATGATTTGTTTATAAACTCACTTAGAGATTGCACCAATATCTTCAACTACTCTTCCCTCCTCCTGGTGGCATCCACAGAATGAAGATAGCTAATAGGCTTCTGGGACTGGATTTCCATATTCGCTACCCCCTGAACTAACTAGGCCACTCTGGCCATTTATAATAGGATAATCAGGCCCTTTCAGTTATGACTGGCTGATTCATGCTGCCAAAGTCATTTCCCCTCAGCACTTCCTTATCAGCTAAATGGGAAGTGATGGTGGCATCTGTTCTGCCACCCAGATCCCAGTGACAGTTTATAATTTGGCATTTCTTGTTTGTCTGATGGGGAGACGTCTCACAGAATATAACTGTAGGGAAAGACTAAGAATGCTGACTCCCAGTATTAGGCCTTCTGGAACTGAAGGCTGAGAAGTCTGTGAGGAGCCCGCTATGCCCATTGGAGTGACTCCACAAGAACTGTGGGCAGCCATTGCAGTGGCTAAACACAAACACACAAGAAACCTTTCCCTCTGAGGGCAGATAAACCATGCGCACATGCTTTAATTAAGTCCTTAAAACCAGTCAGTTTATGATAACATTGGGATTCTGGTTCTTCTGGTATAACCTGTGAAAATTTATGATGGCCTAAAAAATTTAGACTTGTTTAGGAAACTCAGTAACTTACGTCTCCCTTGAAAGAACCAGAAGGTTTTTTAAAATTTCTCTCAACAAAGAATGGTAAAAAAAAAAAAAAAATTATTCATTCAAAAAAACATTTATCAAATACCTACTATGTGCCATTTCTGTGTTCAGATTGTGGCCCATGTTGTACTTAGTGTTTACTCTACTGTGCTCTCATACATAATGTACATACTATGTGATAGAATATATGACAGAATCCTAGCACTGTAATAAAACCATTAGACAGAAATCTTCAAATGTGAACCGTATTTTTATGCCACTTGAAAGGAGATTTTCACTGATATTGTTAATGTTTAATTGTAAGAGAACTTTGCCAATATTGCAAGAAGACTGTCAGATTTATCAAGTGGTTAGTTATGTTTTGGTATCTTTTCATCTACCCATCTGAGATAGCAAGTGTTCTCACAACCAAGAAAAGAAACTGGTTTTGATATGTCTATTATTTAGCCAGTGAATGTACAAAACAACAAGTAAATAAATAAGAAATAGAAGGTGAACCCAAGGTAAAATGAACCTGCAATATCAGTAACTGTTTCTCTGTGTTGATAAGACTTTGAACAGTGAAGAATTAACCTTAGCAAGTAATCAGTCCACTATGAAATCATACTGTAGGTGACTGAAAGTAAAGGAATAAGAGCCTTCTTCTAAAATCCAAAGTATTAAAGCCTGCCCCAAACATCAAATCTACTAAATATGTGAATCAAATGACAATATTCATAAAATGGTCGCAAAAAGATTCAAATAAAAGTTTCAAGAATTCAGCCCTGGACAAAATAGGAAATGAAGAAAACCTCATTTTCATTAGCTTGAATTTACTGTAGTTTTTAGAAAGTAAGCTATTTTCTCTTAATTTGGTTGAATACAATATAACCAGAAATTTTTAAAAGATCTGCGTTAGCCAGCTTTGATTGCGAAAATTTGACTCGAAATTTGCTGCTACTGAGGTAAAAAGAGTAGGAGAAAATTGCAAACGTTATTTTCTTAGTCTGTAGAGACAACATCAGACTGAGAAAATTGGATCAGCCCTCCTAGGCAGAAACAACAATGTTACCGAAATGACATTATCATGAGAATGTTTTATGACCTAAAAGAAGTAATTGATTCCCTTCTTCTAAGGTTCTGTGGTAGCAGTTTAGATCAACTACCATTTTATGTACACCAACATTTTCAAATTAAGATGCAGAGATTTCTCCAAATAGTCACAGGCCCAAATTACATGAAAAGAAAATAGCATTCTTTACATTTCCTATGTACACAGAGGGTATTAGATGGACTCCAAATATAATGAAATACATTAGCATTTATAGTAGGCCCTATTTGTAGTTATTTCTTTGTATTAGATGTGCAGTCTTAAATTTTGTAGGAGTTTATCTGTTAATATTAAGTCCTATTTATATAACTAAAAAATCTTAATCTGAACAACAGAGTTTATCCACATAGAAGAAATTTAAAGGTAGATAGTCCAGAGTTGGTATAGTGCCACTCCATAGATTTCATTATGTGTATTTTTTGGCTTTATCCCCAAGTTTGCTTCATGGTCTGAGATAACCAGTGAAACTCCACCCATCATATCTGGGTTTCCAGATCAGTAAAGGGAAGAAATGGGAGAGAACAAAATTTCAAGAATTCCAGCTAAACGAGCTTCTTTATAAGCAGCTATTCCAGTTCACCCAATGCTTCAGAGCACTCAAATCACGCTGGGCTGAACATTTTCTTGGGGCCACATTTACCCACAAGAATCTAAGGAATAAAGTCTTCATTATAAGAAAAGCTACAAGTGGAAAATGGGTTTCTTTTAATAACAAATCAAGATAAATGACATTGTTCTTACTTTTGCATATGGTGAAATGCTATTGATTGCACAGTTCTTCCTTTTATGTACTAACCATGCATATCTTTCTCTTCCTCTTGTATCACCAGGCCTCCGGAACCTGTTTACAGCACTGTGAACAAACTATGTGATAAGCCTGCTTCTCCCAGGCACTATTCCCCTGTTGAGTGTGACAAAAGCTTCCTTCTCTCAGCTCCCTATTCACACTACCACCTAGGCCTGCTCCCTGACTCTGAGATGACCAGGTACTGCATGCGCTTCCTCACAAATTGCATGTGCTTCCACAAGGATGAATGGGTAGAATCCACCTCTGCTCACTTTTCTTGCACTAAACATCTTCCCCAAGAAGGAGAGATGTTCTGCTTGGTGCAATGCAAGAAATTAAGAACATTGCCCTTTTGGTTTGGTTTGGTTTGGTTTGTTTCCTGGAGTGATTACAGAGCACTTAGACATGATCACATGATGTTCCACATGTTCCTGGTTCCTATGTGTTTTAATAAGGTATTAATTATATTTTTCCAGAAGAATTAATTTTGGAACTTAATACCATGTCACTCATTTGGAAGAATGAAAGAGAGCATTTGTTGAATATTTTAAAATAATATTTAATAAGTATTTACTATGCTCCAGGCATAACATAGCCTAAGAAATACATCCTGTTATCACCATGTAATATTTTAACTAAAATATTAGTATCACCATTTAACTGAGTCCTTAAGATATTAAGCAATTTGTCCAAAATGACTGAATTAGTTGGTTCCATCTCACCGCAAAGAACATAATATTAATGTTTATGTTATGTTGTCATGCTAGGTATATACATATATATTCTCTTATTTCACTGTTCCCAGCTTATTTAAAGAGACGGAAGTTCATAGAAGTTAAAACCATTGCACTCAGTATGATCTTGTCAATAACTGTGGAGTCTAAATTTGACATTAGAATGTTTTGAGTCTTTCAGCAACTTTGTGAAGAAATTATTCTAAGCCTAAAAGTTGGACACAAATCTGTGTTAGTATTCCAAAGCATATATGTATGTTTATACCTAGCATGATAAGTTGGAGAGAGAAGAAAGCAAGAAAAATAGAATTCAGTGCCCACAGGTAGTCCCAATTCAGTTTAAACAGAGATCCCAACTGTAATATTCCTACAGAGGATGGGGTGACTATGTAGTTATTTTCAGACAGGAATATCTTCATAATATTGTTAGGAGCTGAGAAAATACAAATTTTAGAATGATTCAGAGTTAAGATAGATAAATCAAGAGGGTCTACTAAGAACGTCATCTTTATTTTTTGATGTTTTGAAGGAGTAAGTTTAGAAGTCAATTACTGTTTTCTCTAGGAGAGTTAAATAACAAATTTTAAATTACATCTAGCATTTCCAGGAATAAATGAGAAAACTTATTTTTGACTATGTCGATCAGCTGGGGCATTTTTATTAATTTGCATTAATTAAAGTCTAATAATGTTTCAGAATACTTTATAAATATTCATTAAATCCACGTATATTTTTAACAAATTATTAAAACTCTTTCTTGATAGAGTGAACTATGCCATTTTAAAGCTGAGAGGCCAAAGTCACCATACCCCTAGGGAAGTGAAAAGAGCCACACACCTGTAATGACTTGCTAGTAATTATCTACCTATAATCAGCTACATAAGGATAGCTAACATTTATTGAGCTCTTCTGTATGAGGTAGCTTGTTAAATACCTCTTATGAATTATTTCTGTTAATCTTCACTGTAACTTTATGAGGTAGATGTTATCATTATCTTTGTTTTACAAATGAGGAAATGGAGACTTGATAAGTTGCCTAACTTGACCAAGATCATCCACCAGTAAGTGACAGAGCTGGGATTCAAACTTAGATGATGATGACCTGGCAGACCATTAGCCATTTTTGCTCACTGGAAAAAAATTTCCACCCACTTCTCTTTTTCTGTCTCTTCTCTCTCTCTCTTTCTCTCTCTCTCTCTCTCTCTCTCTCTCTCTATATATATATATATATAAAATACCATAGAGTTATGTATTTTTTAAATAAAAACATTATAGTACCAACGCTGAATATTTCTTTTTAAAATTACACACCCTAACTAATTCTGATATACACCAGTCATCCCCATCCACCATTCACCTTTTTGGGAATTCCATTTTCAATTTATTCTAATTTTGTCCCCTTCTTTCTCTTTCTTCTTTTTTTAATTTTTCCATTATCTTATACTTTATCTTAGCTTTGTAGAAAAAGTCATACACACACAAAAACACCGATACACCTATTTTAGTTGCCTTGTTATTGATACCAAGTATACATTGATAACAAAAATCTTTTTTTTTGAGATTCAATCTTGCTTTATCACCCCGGCTGGAGTGCAGTGGTGCAATCTCAGCTCACTGCAACCTCCACCTCCCAGTTTCAAGCGATTCTCCTACCTTAGCCTTCCAAGTAGCTGGGACTACAGGTGCCTGCCACCACATCTGGCTAATTTTTTTTTTTTTTTTGTAGAGACAGGGTTTTACCATATTGACCAGGCTGGTCTCGAACTCCTGACCTCATTATCTACCTGCTTCGGCCTCCCCAGGTACTGGGATTACAGGCATGAGCCACCACACCTGGCTGATAGCAAAAATCTTAATTTCACTCTACTTTGTTCCTCTTCTATACTTCCCCTACTCAGTAAATGGCACATACGTCTACCTCGTTGTTGAAGCAAAACACTTGAAAGTCATCCATGCTACCTTGTTTTCCCTCGCACCCACCATTCAGTTCATCTTCAAGTCCTGTTCATTCTGCCTCAAAATTATCTCAGATTTATTCACTTTCCTTTACTTCTATTTCCACCACTTTAATCTAAGCCCCCATCATCTTCCACCTATAATAGCTCCTTAACTGGCCTCACCATTTTCACTGTTGACCTTATTCTCAATGCAACCAAAGTGATCTGTGAAAAATACAGACCAGATCTCCTTTTGCATTAGGATGCAATGCAAAGTCATTAACATAGTATCCAGGCTCTGCATGACTGAGCCCTTGCCTGCCTCTTGGATACCTCATTTCACTCTTCCCTTTGCAGACCACACTATTCATGTTGGCCTTTTTTTTAATTCACAAAATGCACTAAATCTCTTCTAGTCTCAAGCGTTTCACATATGCTTTTTCCTGGAATTGAAAAGCTCTTTTTACACTTTGCCTGATTAACTTCTGGTCATCTTAGATCCAAGCTTAAATTGCGTGTCTTCAGAGAAGCTCTCTGAAATAGAAAATCAGGCCCCTATTATAAATTTTATTTCTATTTTTCATAATATCCAAGCAATTTATAATTGTACATTTTTTATATAATTTTCAAACTAAATGCCTGTATCATCCTCTACACTGTAAGCGCAATGAGTGGAATTGTGTCTATTTTGTGCACTGCTGTATTCCTAACACTTAGTCCAGTAGCCGGCTAGCAAGAGATCAGGATTATTGAATGAGTACATAAACATGGAAATAAAATCTTCAAACAAGCAAACTGATACCTGTTTGAAAACAAGTCATAGCTCAAGCTGTGTTTTACCTAGTTCTTAGTAGGTATATAAAACTACTCCATGAATGAATGAATTCATGCATAGAAACAAGTAATAAGTAGAACTCACTTTGTGTTGCTCTCTTACCATAAACTATGTCGATGGTGATTGTGTATGTTGTAAATCCGTTGGGTGTCTGTCAGTACTTCATGAAGACTGAGTAATTCATTTCAGATATCATTTATTTTTCAAATGGGAAATACCTCTCTAAACCAGTGTGTCTTGAAATGCAACCAATAATTCAGGGGCAAAGTAAAAAAAAATCCTGGTTCCATTTTTGTCACCATCACCTGTGTGCTGTTCTCTGCATTCTTGAATAACATATAGACCCTGAGAAGTAGGTGAGAACTTAGAATTAGATAGACAAACCCTTCCTTATCTAATGCTAGTAATGTGGAACCCAATCTACTGTCTTCACAGGTCTATGTCTTACTATCACTCATGGTAAAATAAAAATATTCTGGGATCTTTTGCCCTAAAAAAGATATTATAAAAATGTATCTATTAATTTATTCAACCAAGACTTATCAAGGATCATCAACAAAGCAAAAGATACTACTCTAATAGGACAATTTTTCACAAAGATGCAAACTGAAAGACAGTCAACACTGTTGAAGAAATGCCTGATTTTTAGGATGCAGTAGATAATGATGAACATTTTTTTCAGAGCTTTTGAAAACTTCCTGCAGTCTATTCTAGAAACATGCATATACTGGTACAGCAATTATGGCTTCAGATTAGGATATGCACTAGCTCTGGGAAAGTTAGCATGTGAAACCATCCTTACATTTACTTCGGGATAATTCTTAATCCACATTTAGAGGAATAAAGGTGAGTCAGCAAAAGCAACCAGAGTCAGTCTTCTGAGCTTCATTGGGAAGACCCAAGTTCTCAGCTCTTTGAATTAATAGCAAACATTTAGGAATGATTTAATGGTACACACAATTTACTTCTGTAAGATCATTTAAAAGAAAACAGAGAAGTTGTTAGGTTTTTCTTAGGAAAGTACTTTAAATTACTTGGCACAGTGCCTACAGCTGCAGATTATGTTTGGAGGAATTGACTTTTTAATGCTTGGAGAAGCAAGAAATGTGCAGAGCCTGAAATCAGACTAAAATTTGAAAATGAAATGGGATTTCTGTGAGACTCCTGCTTATCTAGTACATCTTTTTCTTTGAAAAGAAAAGGAGTTTTTGATGTTATAATTGATTTCTCTACTTTGGGAGAATAAGTTATTCAGCTTTTGATATTTCTAGGGCAAAGAGAATAGTATTCTTGGCTGTTTTTTCAATATTTATGGCATACATTTATTTGTCATTTTATGTAAATGGTCCTAATTATTGTTATATTGCAGTTGATAAAGAGGCTGAGATAAATCAGATGAAGGCTAATTAAAATATGTTGGCAGGTTTGAGATGGGAAATGAACTCTGAAGCACTATATCATTATAAAACATCTTCAGTCACTGAAGGATATATATTTGTAGGACTTCAACTAAGTACCAGGCATCATCCTTAATGTTAGGGTTTCAAAGGTGAAAAAAACATGGTCTCTCCCCTTAAGTAAACTAAGAATTACTTACTGTGTGATACATATCTGCTAAAAGTCCTCAGTTTCTCAAATGTACATAATCTCTAGGTAACTGTTAAAATAACAGATTTAGAGAAATTAAATTTGA